TGCGCGGGCCTCCGAGGTGCGGAGCGCCGCGGCGTCGGGGCGGGAGCCGGACGGCAGGGGCCGGCCGGGGCGGGCTCGCCTGGCAGGGCGCGCTGCTTTGGGCCGCGCAGGGCTTAACCACTGGGTCTCAGTTGGGATGGTTATGTCCAGACAGAAGCTGTCTCAGCGAGATGGTTCCCATTAATCCTGTCGTTAACTTGATGACTTGAATCAGCTCCAAGAGCACACTTTTACCAGACAAAATTTAAGTGTTAGATTTTAAAAGCTTCTTATTTCGTTCTGGTTTGCTTTCTTGTCTGAAAAACAAGCTCTCTGAAAGCAATTACTTTATATTTTTAATTGAATACTTCTTCATTTTACAGGGCATAGCTGAGAGGCCCAGATGTTTGCACTGCTATTTTGGCTCACTGAGAATGTATTTTTTTCTTTCCTAGTTTTTAGGAATCAGCTGCCTCGGAAGAATGAGTTTTACTCATTTGAGCCCCCTTCTGAGAAGCGTCCCCCGGATGCCGGCGAAGCTGTGTGCCTCCAGCTGGAGTCGGGCACTCACCTCTGCAGGGTGTGTGGCTGTTCAGCCCCCAAAGTGTGCTCCAGATGCCACCGGGCGCATTACTGCAGTAAGGAGCATCAGACGCTAGACTGGAGGTTGGTGCATAAGCAGACGTGTACACGAGGTAAGACTTTCTTCTGAATCTCAGCTCAGAGTTCTTGTCAACTCAAATATTTTATTTCCAGTTTAGGTCCAAAGTTAAATTAGAAAACTTATAGTACTGTACTTTAAAAAAATTTTAACTGGTAATATGAACCTTTATAAAAGAGAAGCTGTGAACTCTTAAATCAGTTGTGTGACCAGCTTTGCCTTAATGCAGGTATTTTTACTATATAATAACTCAAAACAACTAGAAAATAGTATGGGCACCTTCAGGAGCTAAAATAATAAAAGTATTACAGGCATTCTGTCCCCCAGTCTAAAGTGTCAGCACCGTATTAACAGGGAAAACAGCTACTGTATGGAATATGCAGCAGTGATCTCTTGCATACTGTTACAGTATAACACACGGCTCATATTCGTGGTGCTGCTGCCAGTGATGTAAGTAGAAATACAGCCTGTGCAACCAACCTGTGATACGTGGTGATAGGGAGCTGTGTTACAGTCTATGTGTTTACTGTACTTTTTATCTTAGAGCATATTCCTGCTAGGAAAACTCACCTGTACAGTGGTTCGCTGTGTTATCCTGGCAGCAGGCGTATGCACCTCGGGGTTGTCATGTCTCGTGAGTACCTCACGAGGGAGGGAGGGAGGGTGATGCACCAATGTTGGCTAGGGTGTGTTAGCTCAGTGTTCTAGAGATGGCAGCACTCAAGGACACAGCTCTCAGAACGTATCAAGCAATGTGTAGGTGCACTTTAGAAGTAGAGAACTTGTTTTCTCTACTTTGAAAAGTAGAGAAAAGTACAGCATTTCCAAAACTAAGTCACTATTTGTGATAGTATGGGGCTGGAGAGATGGCTCAGTGGTCTAAAGCACCTACTTAGAACAAGCTTAGCAAAAGCATCAGGGACCGCGGTTCAATCCCCCAGCACCACATGCCAGCCAGCCCCGCCCCCTGGTGGGCTGAGCTGGCCTCTCTCTCTCTCTCTCTCTATCTCTCTCTCTCTCTCTCTCAAATAAATAAATAAATAAAATGTGATAGTATGTTCTTTGTTTCAGATCAGTTGGACCATCCAGTTCCAGATCACAACTTCCTTTTTCCAGAATTTGAAATTGTAATAGAAACAGAAGATGAGATTATGCCTGAAGCTGTGGAAAAGGAAGGCGACCCTGACGTCGTCGAAAGCATGGGTAAGGAGTTGGCTGCAGCATTTCAGTGGATAAACAAATACAGTGCTAGAGAGAAGGGCTTCCTATGTTAAGAAAAGTGTACTGTTAGTGGATTTGGGGGTGCTACAGTATGTTTCTAAATTCTTTCTAAATTTCTAAATTCATTCTGTCCTAAACAAAGAGTTGAATAAAATAAGCATAAATAGTGGCAATGTTTCACATTAAGGGTAGGAAAAAAACCTAGAAGAGTAGAATGAAAAGAGAATGTTACGTTTTTAATGAATGGCTGCAGGACCAGAGATAGAGCGCTTGCCTGGCAAGCACAAGATCCCGAGTTTAATTTCTAATACAAAAACAAAAGCAAACATGGAAACAGTGGGTAGTGTTGCCATTATTTGGAAATGATTGTACCTTGGGGAATACAGGTGACTCACAATGTTGGTGTCCTGGGCTTCAGAAAAGTTGACAGAGAGACCTGAGATCACAGGCTTGGTTTCCAGTGAAAGCACATCATGAATGCACGGGTTCCACCCACTACAGTGGCTAATGTCTGTTGGCGCAGCAGCACTGGGTTATTTCTAATGCGTAAATGATGTTTCTTTGCAAAACGAAGAATCACTTCTTGAGAGGTGATTGATCCCAGTAAGTGTTCAGATAACGCTGGAACATGGTCATAACAGTTCAAGAAGCTATCAGATTATGAGTTATGTCAGTAGGGCACATGACAATGTGAGCTGATGTCTTCTGTTCATTAGAAACTACAGATTAAAACATACAATGTGTTGAAACTTATGGGTTCAAAGTTATAGCTTATAAACTAATTGACTGAAAATTAGTGAATTGTTTTCCAGGGGCTCATATTTTAATTACTCAGTGATATGAATGGGCCTTGCTTCACAGTAATTGAGTTGGGGGACTTGAAATTTTAGTTGAAGCTGACTGTTGGCATGTGGTGATTCACTACACTGTTTTTGCTTTTGTGTATGCTTTTTTCCAAAATAAAATGAAGGAAGAAATGATTCTGCAAATGGCTGTGTCCTAGCTGAGACTTCAGGCTCCTAGGTAAAGGATTGGCAGGATACAGTAGTCCATGAAAAAGCACGGAAATGTCCTGAAGGTCACACCGAAACTTCGCCCTTGCACGTGGTGGAGCAGTGGTCTGAAGGCAGTGGTTGGTCTTCTGGGGATCATGGAGTGAGCACTACTAAGAAATGTTTCTCCAGCTCATCAGAGTGCTGGAGTTTTTATGGAACTTGCCCGAGTCAGGACACCCAGGCTACATTGTGACACACCTTGCCAGTGGCTCAGGAAGGCTGGAACTGCAGGAATGAGTGCAGAGCAGGAGAGGAGCAGCAGATAACTGCGTGAAGACTTGAAGGGAGCGTGCAGGCAGGCAGGTGAGGGAGAGCAGTGGCAGCAGGAGTTCGGGCATGGGCATCCGCGATGCGCTGGGTGTGCTCCTGAGCCTCTGACGTGGCCCGTTCTTTCAATTTGAAATCTTCAAGAGGAGTAGAGGCAGCCTGCACAGTTGTCATAGTGTTGTGTGGAGCATCTAGAAGTCAGTGCAAATCAGAAGGGAAGGCTACCTAGGAAGGTGTGCACACCCTTCTCTTGTGGGGCTTGTTCACGTTTCATAATTGTGGTAATTTTTTCAGGTGAAGCACCTGAAGAAGAACTGGATTCCATGGCCAAGCATGAATCTAGAGAAGATAACATTTTCCAGAAGTTTAAAACTCAGATAGCCCATGAACCAGAGCAGGTAAAATGGAATTTACACCTCTACTTTTTTTTCTTTCCCCAAGCTGGATTTTGTAAGTAACTCTATAAGAAAGCTGGTGTGTTCCTTTGGAGCCTGTAAAAATAGGCTTGTAAAAGTCTTATTATTCTTCAGACAGATGGGCCACAAAGGATGTTGGTAGTTGTGTTCCATGTAATAAGCTGTTTATCACGTAATTTTTTTTTTTTTTTTTGGTGGAACTGGGGATTGAACTCAGACCCTTGTGCTTGCCAGGGAAGCGCTTATTCTCTTGAGCCAGCTCCCTGGCCCCAAGAATAATTTTCTAAGGGAAGCATCAGGGGTGGGAGCTGAATGAGATCTTCCCCAAGATGACAGTTTAGGCGCTGCTGATTGGATTTGTGCTTTCTAAAATGTGTAAGGTTCCTTACGTGTGTGTGAAGGTGTGACCGTCTACATGAAATTGGTATTGGGCGTATTCTTGGTTCTTTTACGGTATATTTACAGATTAGATTCTAACATTCTCGGTAGAAAAAGTATTATCTAGGAAACACTGAAGTCATGCATTGAGGAAGTAGAGTACACGTTACCACTGCACACTATAAATTGTCTCCAGTCAGCGCTCCAGGAAATGGAGGAGCACGTGCATGCGCAGTGGCTCTGTGGCCGTAGATGACGTGATGCTAACATTTGAACGTCGTCCCCATTGATTTAGATTCTCAGATACAGCAGAGGCATGGAGCCTGTGTGGATTTCTGGTAAAAATGTTCCTCAAGACAAGGATATTCCAGATTGTCCCTGTGGTGCCAAGAGAATATTTGAATTCCAGGTATGGATTTTTTCAGCGATAATCACCCTGCTTTGTGCTTTGGGAATGCTGGAAAGCGTCACTAGTGTCACAGTGCACATGGGCCAGCGAGGTGGAACGGAAGGTGTGACATGATTCTGAGAGCCTGCAGTGCTCCCTGCTTTGAAGGCATGTTCTCACTGCGTGTCCCTCTCCTCAGGTCATGCCACAGCTGCTGAACCACCTGAAAGTAGACAGACTGGGCAAGAGCGTGGATTGGGGCGTCCTGGCCATCTTCACCTGTGCGGAGAGCTGCAGTTTGGGCAGCGGCTACACAGAGGAATTTGTGTGGAAGCAGGATGTGACAGATACATCTTAAGGCTAAGCTGCTGATGTCAAAGCTTGCAGTTCTAAGAACTTCAGCTTAAGGAAGAAACTTGGGGTAGTTACCTAGTAACTTACAGACCTGAACATACAAATGTAGTGCTTGAGGCATTGTTTTATAATGTCTAAATTTCTAAAACAAAAATGTCTAGTGACAGAGCATTTAGTAAATTTGTTACATCCAAGGAAGAAAGATGTTACATCTTATGTGACAACAAATAAGAGATCTAAACACCATCATAGGTGGTGTTTGTGATGCGGTAGTTTTGAAAAAGTATACGTGTATATGTACTTAGGAATAAAACTAGAAAGATACGCTGAAGTGACTACCCAGCTACCCGCAAATGGTGACCGTGAAGAAGTATTTTGGTAAATACCCAGTAAACCCAACTTAACTAGGCTGGTGAACTGAAATCACAGTACCAGAGTTGACAGGACCAGGGGATGTGGTGAGTCTGTCATAAAAATGCTTGGAGTTGAAGAGGCTCCACTGCAGAGCTCACCTTGGTGAGTCTCGGTCACCCTTGAGATGATGGCAAAAAATAAGCACAGGACGTGTTTGCTTGGAACAGGTGGTTTCAAGAGGGAGACGGGCCCATTCACCGGTGCTGGAAGAGGCCCTAGGATGGGTAGGGGCTGCAGTGAGCATTTTATGTGGAGCAGCTCTACTTCTGGTGCATTTCTAGGTAAATGGCTAAGTGGTTGTCGCCAAGTTCAGGTTCTTTCCAGTCCCTAGTGGTTCAGCAGTTGATAGCTTCCAGGATGCTACGTCGGTGCCCAACACTGAGGCAAGCCTTGAGACACTGCCTTGGCCAGTGTTTGAGAAAGGACAGCTAATTCTAATGACCTCCCATGAGTTCTTAGTCCACATTGGCTCACATCCTGTCCCAAAGCCCTGTTCACCCTGCCACGCTGCCACCACCAGTCTGCACGGGAATGCCACTTACTACTGTCACTGACTCTACTTGCTGTGTTTTAAAGACAGGCCTGTTCGTCCAAATCATGTCTCTGGAACACGTGTAGCACCATCTGGGAACCTGCTGTGTGGATTGCTACTACTAGCCACTGGGCTGGCTGGCCAGTGTTTATAGGACATGGCTGCTGGTGGACAGTGCACTAGGCAGGGGTGGTCACAGCACCAGGTGGGGCATGCAGTGGCAGTTGTGGAACCTTATCCCAGATTGTGGGCACTTCCTTAGCCTGGGTAGAGTAAGGGCTTTTGCTGTCACCTGGGTGACATGGATGTCACTGCAGGCATCGATGCAAGCGTCGGAGCCATGCTGTCACTTGGGTATATCCCAGTCACCCTTAAGATGATAAAAGTCACAGAACTGTTCTGCTTAAAACAGGTGCTTTCCAGAGGGACTGGTGGTCCAGAGCACCAGACAGAAAATGTCACACCACCTACTTGGCAACTGTATTGAAAATTAACAATATAAACACTTAAATAAGTATGCTCCAGTGCCTCTACCTATATCAAGACATTTTTAAAAATACTATAAAGCAACACATAACCCACCTAACTTCCTCACTGATTCACATGCTCCGCTGTGCCCTAAACACTGAGGCTTAGATCTGCTTGGCTTAGAAGCAGCCCAGCCACAGCAGTTCTGCTGGCCTTTTTATTTCAGCTCTGCATGTCAGTATAAAATCATCCTTTGGTAATCTCTGAGCTCATAACAAAACAAATGTGTATTTTGGCAGTTGTACTGATGGTACCATTTCACTCAATGATGGTCAGTTTTTTGGGTACTGAATTCAGGAATCAAAGTTGGGACCTTATGCTTGCCAAGCAGGCACCATGACCTGAGCTGTATCCCCAGCCCCGATACGAGTTTATTCAAAACCGCATGTATGACGTAGGTAAAATAACTGGTAGATAAAATAACTGAACAGTTATGGGGCATTTTAATTATCTGCTGTGTCCTGAAGGATCCCAAACTAGGACAGCAAGAACATGCTGAGCTGCACCAAGTCTGCAGCTCATAAAATAGGGTGTCAGAACCCTTGGAAGCCAGAGGACCTGTAAATGGGGAAGGAAATGCAGGCTGGACTTCGGAGGTTCAATTACATGATTAACGTGTCTGAGAGGCCAGCACAACAGCCTCTGTGGATGCAGCCTGCTGGGAGCAGTGGCTGCAGGCAGACCTGAGCATCTGCCTCTGGCCAGTGTCTTCGCCTAAGCATTCAAACATACTGTGTCCTTCATCTCTGTTTTAGTTTTTATGTATTTGGTACATGGTACAGGGTCTCACTACACAGCTCAGACTCATAGTGATCCTCCTGTTTTCAGCTTTCCCAGCACTGGGATTACAGGAGTGTGCCACCATGCCCTGTCTGGCTGGCTCCACGTGCCTGCAGGGCCTAGTGTGCCATATGGCGTCAGGGATCAAACCCTGGTCCCTGTGCTTGCCTAAGCAGGCACTTAGTCAGCTGAGCCACCTTGCCGGCCCTCTTCATCTCTATTTTAAAACATGCACATTAAAAGTCAGATACTGGGGCCAGGGAGCTGGCTCAGTAGAATAAGCGCTTGCCTGGCAAGCGCAAGGGCCTGAGTTCAATCCCTGGTTCTGCCAAGAAAAAAAAAAGTCAGATACTGAGATCGAAAAAAATGAAATTACTGCTTTTAGATGACTACATGCCTACAACTTTCAGTACAAAGACTCAACAGCAGTACTAGAAGTTCTGTAAACAGACCAGTAATACAATGATTTTAAATTGTTATGAAAAGTTTCGTTAATAAAAAAACAAGCCATAACCTATATAGGAAGTTAAAAATATGAAATGTTGTTGGGTGTAGGGTGGGTGGTAAAGCCCTGTAGCACTGAGGAGACTGAGGTAGGACTGCCACAAGTTTGAGGCTAGCCTGGACTACAAAGCAAGACCCTGTCTGAAAACAAAACCGCCTTATGTAAGATGCGTGTGTGAAAACCAGTTGCAAACCTCTACTGAGGAGGACACGGAGAAGCCGTTCTTGGACACGGTGCCGGTGTCCTTCCAATCATGGACACTGGCAACAGTGCTGACTAGGAGGGGTGAGAAAAGTGCACTTCATACACAGGATGTGAGAATGCAGTCGAACAGTTAACTCCTCTTCCAAGAACGCTGACTGCAGTAGTAACCTGTGCTTACTGGAAATACACATACGAGGATATTCCCTCCAGCAGCAAGCACTGGGAATAATGTAAATGACCACCACTGAGGGAATGGCTGATTAAAGAGTCGCAGAGTACCTGAGGTTCCATGTCCTAGCTGAGCAGCGTGGCACATGCCTGTAATTCTAGCACCCGAGGGGCTGAGGCACAAAGATTCTACATTCCAGCCCAGCCCAAACAACTTCATGAGATTGTTGTCTGAAGAATTGTACTTCAGTAGTAAACTGTTTGCCTAGGTCTACAGGCTCTTCAGTACAGTACTGAGAAAGAGACCACGTTCTGTAGAAATGTGACATACTGACTGAAAAAAAGTGAAGCCCCAAACTGAAATACTACCAGACATGGTACACATGCCTACAATCCCAGCATTAGGGAGGCTGAGGCAGGAGTGCTGTTGTGGTCAAGGCCAGCCGCACTACATAATGAGACCCTTTCTCAAAAAAACAAAACAAAACAAAACAAAACACCAACTGAAATACTGTATACTGTTTTTCCCAAAGCAGGATGGAAGTATCCCCAAAGGTAGAATTCTCCAGGACGCAGTTTTAACACTCAGCAGGCAGAAGGAAAAGGATAGATCTCTCCTTTCTGAATATACACATCAGCTATGAGAGAATGTTTTTACGGCTGAAAAGGACAAATACCCTTACCAAAAACACAGCTCACCAGCAGCCTCAGAAGACTAAGATGCAGGTGGCAGCCTCCATACCCGAAGGGCCGCCGCAGAGCTCTTCAGGGCCCTTCGAAGCTACGGCACCCTGCACACAGGTGCTCTCCTCACTTCTGAAAGGATTGCTGAGGATGCCTGACACGACACAAAGCACGAGGGGAGCTGGAGATGCTGCTGCCACGTGTCTGGTAACACCCAACCAGTTCACTGGACGTGCAGTGTGATGTGCAGTGGACACTGACTAAAACGAGCGGCACACAAACACCAAGATGGTTTCAGCCATTATATCTAAAATACAACTTTTTAACAGTATGACCACATGACCTTAACAAGTTAATCATAACAACAGTCTAACACTTTTGTAAACTGCATTTATTGTACAGAGTACTCTGAAGAAAGAAAAATATGTACAGCCATTTGTTTTCATTAATACATCTATTCTGTCCTGCAATACTGGAAAGGCGGAATGTGTCTGGCACAAAAATAACCCCTAAGAGTTACAAATTAGAAAACAACACTTTTAAAAAACATTTTTACTCATCTGGTAGAAATATAAAAACTGTGGTTTATGGGGAAAAAATTAAACAAGTTCAATTGTATAGGTGGCTTCATCACTTAAGTCTTATCCCTTAAACCAACCTGTCAACAGCAGTGTTTAAAATCTACATATAAATAAACGGGCAGTGCTGCCCAGATAGCAGCACAGTACGAGCAACTCACAGTAATGCTGCGGGGGGTTCTCAGTGCAGGAGGGCCCTTCCCGGCGTCCCACAGCAGGGCCTAGCCAGGAGAGCCGTTCGGTGATGCAGCCTACGCCTGAGCATCCGTCTTCTCACACCACCACCATGAAAGGTACCAAACTGATGTGTTTAAAAAACAAAGGGGCTGGGGGACAGGAGAACGTGATATCACTACGTGGTCTTCCTGAATCCCTTTAGAATAGGGTAGATGTTCTCAAATGCTTCGTAAATTTCAGCTCTGACTTTAGCACCTGTGAACATAAGAAGGAGCAGAGACGAGCGTAAAATGGCATTTCTGAGGTAAAAGTAAGAATTACTCTGAAGATGCAAACACAGTGCTCTCCACGTTACCAGATACAGGCATTAAAACATTAATGGCAGAAACCCTTGTCACAATTCTAATTTTGTTTTTAAAATAGTTATCACTAAGATGAACTTTTTTTTTCTGGTACTGGGGATCTCACTCAGGGTCTTGTATTTGCCAGGCAGGCGCTTCTGCCACTGAGCTATCCTGCTGGCCCTATGGTGGCCTTAAAGATGACCTTAACTTAAAGGACCAGAGCAGTGCAGGTGGTGACTCCAGCCTGTCATCTCCTGCACACACTCGCACAGTCCTGCACCTCGGCCAGGCCATAAACCCAGCAGGCAGTGGCCAGAATGAGCGAGCCGCCTTCTTCCAATGCTGCCTCCACCTGGGATCGTCTCAGCCTTCCTTAGCTGTCTCAGCAGTGGGGGTGCGGATGGCCCACAGCAGCAGCAGCAGCAGCAGCAGCAGCAGACACTGCCACACCCAGCTGGCGCCGGGCTGCAGACAGACTCCACTGCTCTCTCCCTCCCACATGGGGCTTTGTTTCTCTCAAGGAGGAAAAGAAAAACCACCCTAGGGCCTTTTTTTAACAAGTGGTTAGCTAACTGTTCCAACACTGCAGTTTCTTCTCAGCACTGAGAAAATACCACCCTTAAAACTCTATAAAGTTTCAGATGCTGTTTTGTTACAACTTAACTTTTTTTTAAAAATGTGTTTAGTACAGGGTCTACAGAATATCACTATACAGATTAGACTACACAGTGATCCTCCTGTTTTTAGCCTCCCAAGCACTGGGATTATATCCTGTTTTCAGCCTCCCAAGCATTGGGATTATAGGCGCGCACCACCATGCCCAGTCTCATTTGCCAGTCTCAGTGCGCCCTGGGGGTGGGGCTGGCGCTGTAAGGCCAGGGATTGAATCCCGGTCCCTGTGCCTGCCTAAGCAGGTGCTTTAGTCTGCTGAGCTATCTGGCCAGCCCTTACAACTTACCTGTTAATACAACTTTTCCAGAAACAAAAATAAGGAGAACAATTCTAGGTTTGATCATTCGGTAGATTAATCCAGGAAATAACTCTGGCTCATAACTGGAAGAAAAATGGCAGAAATACTTTAGAAATCATGAGCTTCCCATGTTTTTAGGCAAAAGGAGAATCTGTGCACGGGAAATACTGAATAAACAGGCCGACTAGTCCACAGGTAGAACAGCTCTGCAGGGCACAGTGTAGTGAGGCCAGACTGACCTGTCGCTGACCACCTACTGGCTATCTGTCCGCCTATCAACTGATCCAGCTATGTTTATTTTCTATTCTGTGATCCATGTCCAGATTCACCATGGACAAGTTTATTTATGTGACTTTGTTATGGTTTGTGTCTAGTTGTCCCCCAAAGTCTCATGCAGTCATGGAGTGGACCTCTAGAGTTTGCGATTAACTCATGATCCCCTGGGATTATGGGTGTGAGTGCTGCTGGGATTGTGGGTGAGTACTCCTCCCAGCGTGGGCAGACAGCCTGAATGCACCTCAAGGGAGACTTGTGCTATTGCTAGTGTTGCTGCTACTTCTCCATTTTGCTCTTGCTCTCTGCCATGTGCCACTCTGCCTTGGAGCCAGCTGAGTATGGACTATAACATCCAGTAACTGTGAGCTCAATAAATCTTTCCTTCCTGTTGGGAGCCGCAAGAAGCTAAGAAATTGATCAAATGTGTATAGGTGAGACTGGTCCCCAGTACCTAAAACAAACAAACTACCCCACTGCCAAGCTTAACTGTCCTATCTGGTTCAGGTCAGCTATTAGTCGCTAGGCAACCTTGTGTCATGTGTTACAAACTTTGCAAAAGCATAAATAAAGGATCGTTTTGTTGTGTGTTGAGTTAGTCTTGCCCATTAGGCAGACTAGCGACCACCTAGCCCAGCTTTTGTCTTCTTGTCTATCTCATTCCTGCCGCTGTGTCTCCTTGGGCAGAACGGTTTGCAGTAAGACCAAGGATCCCTACACCTTCCTTCATTTTGGGTGTCGGGTATCTGTCCCAGCAATGAGAGAAAAGTAACTGAGACACCGTAAATTAAAAACTTAATCATTTAATTTTAAGAGTTGATAAGACAGCTTGCCATTTGGATCTGAACTTCCGGAAATGAAAAGTCATATCCAGCTGTCAGTTTTAGTTGGGAGATTTAACTAAAGTGACACACCAGGTACTAGCTTGAGAAGAATTTATCCCCCCAGTGACATGGAAAACCCTCTTCTCTCTCTGTCTTTGACTCAGACAAAAATTTAGGACAGGCCTGAGGTTAAAAAGTTAAAAGTGTGCCAGGTACACAGGTAGCGTATACAAAGGCCCTGGGGCAAAGAGGCAGGGGGCTGATGTGGCCCCAAATGCAGCAGATGCTGAAGCAAGTCTGTGAGGTGGGCCGCTGCCACGAGCGCACCAGCAGCGGCGTAAGAGCTGTGGAGAGTGTGTCTGTTGCTCAGTGCTACACTTTGCTGGTAGATCTGATGTAATGTTGATGCAAAGATGCCAACAAGGAAAAAAGTGATGCAAGAGGTTCTGGAGTCAATGCATGTGTTTGTAATGCACCTATCAAGCAACAAACAAGATAAAATATGTTAACAGTGGGAAAGAATTCGTTCCAGTGAAGGGGAGTTCACCACAGCACATGAGTGTGTGTAGGAAGAGCCTGGTTAACATGTCAGAAGATACTGCTGAAGACAGCAAGAAATTCAGGGACAACTGTAAACACTGCTGGGGTTACATGCTGAGTGCTCTGCATGTGGTCTATCCTGAACAGCCCCTAAGGAGAACACAGACAAGCCGACATGTCGCAGACTCACCTACTGAACTGCTGGTGGGTCAGCACAAGCCCCTCCAGCCTGATGGGAAACTTCACGTCGCAGCTCCCCACCATATTCTGAATCTTGAAGTCCAAGAACTTGGCTGGAAATCCCAACTTCTGCACGACTCTGGCATATTTTCTTGCTGCTAGTCGGGACTGTTCTTCACTAGGGAAAGGATAAAAGTGGATCACTTGTACTGAGTCAGCTAAAATAAATATTTAGATGAATTATTTAACATAAAAAAATACAAGTCAGGAAACAACAGTAATAACATGTAAACTGTTCACTCCTTCCAACAGGAGAAAAAAAATCAATAAACAGTTTTATTATAAAGATTCCTGTGTCCTTGATAGAAAATAACAGACCTACCAAATGATCAGCCAAATTACTGATCTTCAGGTTTATGGACAGGCTCTGGGCTACAACGTTCTGTGTGGAAACGAACACTAACAAGCTTCATCTTGTTAGAAAAACACTGATGAGTTTTTTGTCTCTCTTTCTTTTTTAAAGACAGGGTATCGCTATGCAGCTCAGGTTGGCCTTGAACCACTCTGTAACCCAGGCTGGCCTGGAACTCAAAATGATCTTCCTGCCTCAGCCTCCCAGTGCTGGGATGACAGGTGAGCACCACCATGCCCAGCTCTGATGAGCTTTATTAGCTGAAAAATGCACAAAGCAGCGCTGTCCTCCTGTATCCTTCCTGGTGACAGCATTTGGACATAACTATGAGTCAGCAGCGTCAGGCTTATGTGAGGAAAGCAAGTACACGGTGGCGCTGCACACAGAAGAGCCTCAAGCGCAGAGGGCAGCGCAGCGGAATTAGCCTGTGGCACGTGCTGCTTTCCTCTTCTCGGAAAGTGAGTCTGTGTTTCCTGGTTCTGATCAGAAAATCACCCACGCGGATAGACAGTATTTAACCAGCAGATGCTCCAGGACAAACAGGACTAAACACCACATGGGAAGTCTGTCTTAGGAAAGAGAAGAAACAGTTTCGGTGTTTCACAGGAAAACTGCTGGAGTGAAGTGCTACCACTGCACGCTGGAGCCAGGAAGACGGAAAGCTGCACACAGGTCCATGCCTGCCTTCTCAGAAAGCTCCCGCCTAGGACGGAGAATGTCCACACCAACGGCCTTCTCCTCACTAAAGACAACTTCAGAGTCCAGAAGCTAAAACACTGGTAAGCCTCTTCACGGTGATGGCTGCAAGTATATTTTAATCATCTTTTCTTTTCTTTTTGCGGAACCAGGGATTGAACTCAGGCCCTTGCACTTGGCAGGGAAGCGCTTATTCCACTGAGCCATCTCCCAGCCCCCTCATCTTTTATTTTCAAAGACTGAGTTCATTTGTTTAAACTTTATCAAGCTGATGTCACTAATCTAATCTTCCTGTTTTTCTAAGTTTTTGATTTATACTAATGATACAGGCTCTGTCAAGGTTTAGAACAGCACGGGGCCCTGCACACCAGTGTGTTCCCAGCAGGTGGAGAATACACCTTTTATGACAAAGGTGCACTCCCTGGGACATACAGAACTCAAATATAATTAAAATTTGTTCCAGGGGCCAGGAAGATAGCTTGGTGGTCTAAGCACCTACCTGGCAAACACACGTATCCGGGTTTAATCCCCAGCACTGTTATGTCGTGCTGGCCCCCAGCCCTGGGTCTGCAGGCTGAGCCAGCTGCCAAAACTGGGCATGGTGGTTCATACCTGTAATCTCAGTGCTGGGGAGGCTGAGACAGGAGGATCACTACAAGTCCAAGCTGCGTAGAAAGACCCTGAACCAAATAAATTAATTAAAAAGATTTTTTAAAAATTGTTCCAATGAAGGGCAACTGGTATTTGTGGCCAGAACACAGTCTTCCCATACTGCCAGACTGAACAAGTCGCAGTGCTCCAAACCACTAGCTTTTGTGAAGTTCTGTTATCTTGATCAGTATTTTTATGAGTTTTCATATAAAAAACTTTCATATATAAAAGAATCTTACTAGGTTTGATGCTATCTTAAATCACATACACATAAAATGCACTTGAATTATATAGAAAATAAGCACTGTACCACGTTGAAAACCCTTGTTTATTTTTAAGAAAATGAAACCAATACTTCCTAAAATGATTAGAACTAAGCACTGTAATGGTGACCTTTCAAGTGCTGGCCTCAAAACCTAGAAACTGCCATCTACTACCTTTGCTTTCATTACACATAGACCAGGAGAACACATTCTCAAAGCTACCTCTTGGCTCCCGTGCACACCATTTTTCCAGAACTGAAAATCAGCGCTGTGGTTCGTGGCTCTCTTATTCTCATGATTACAGCAGCAAACCGCTAAAATGGTTAGAGAGAAGCATTAGTGAGGTCATCCGAACTGTGGCACTTTGGAGAACTAGAAAATGATAAAGACCATGACATTTAGTGGGAAAGGCCTAATGTATATAGTTGTCAAAGTATTTGTCTTGCAGGACAAGATTCTCTTACATTACTTGTAACAAGGAGCGGAATAGATCACCTCCTGTGACTATTACGGTACTCCACGATATCAGATCTGTGTCTTTTTACATATCTACCCTATCACAAGAAGATGAAGAATGTTTAGAAAACTTGTTTTGTGTAATGTAGGTGTTTTTTTTGGGGGGGGAAAGGTGTTATGAATTAAATCTAGAGCCTTGTGCAAGTTAGGCAAATGCCATACCCACCGAGCTATACCCCAGCCTAATAGATCCTCAAAAACATCAAAACCTATTTGCTGTTTAGGACTAGCATACCTAAATACAAATGTTCTATTATTACAAATTTTCAGGCAAACTGACAATCCTTTTCTACTTCCTGAAGAGATAAGCCAGATTATGCATCAATATGTACTGAAACGAGACCTTGTTTCCACACAGTCCTTAAATATAATGTTCATGTATTAAACACATACATACATACAAAGAAAAAAAGCTTTTATTTTCTGGTTTTTTATGAACTAAAGGTGGTTGCTTTTTGAGATACTTTTTCCTAAGATTATAACGTAAAGGGAAAAAATTTCAACTGCAGATAGGGGTAGTGGCTTCAGGTAATAGGTTTTATGAAACAAGGCAAAAACCCTATTTTCAAGTAATTTAAAAATTAAAAATACATGCTGTCCCACTGAGTTACACTCCCAGCGCCCAGATGACTGAGTCGTAAGAAAGATTGCCCTGATACTTATAAACACTGCTGTATGTCTCCTCAGTCTTATCACTTACAAAAATGGAAGGAGTGTTCTAGTTTATATAAGTCCCAGAAAAGCCAAGTTGCTTTGAATTTCCTATCTTTAGTATTTTATTGGCCAGATAAGTCCCAGGACTGTAATAAAGATTACAACACTGTAAAATTATCCACTCAGCTGAAGACTGGGGCAGAGCAAAGAGTAACCTTGCTGGGTACCATGTAAGAGGGACTAGGAGTCTAGACCGTTAGCCAGTCCAGACCATTAGCCACCTTTGCGGCCTCACACAAAAATTTAAAGATCTTTGAATATCTAGTCAATTTAAGATGAAGACAAGAACACTGGCCACTGAATGATGTTTAATTACTCGCTACTCTCATTTTTATGTTATATAATGATTATTACAGATAAATAATAAACTTATTATCCAGATTTTCTAAGCACCTGAATTAACTTTTATTTTTTATTTTTTTTGTGGAACCAGGGATTGAACTCAGGCCCTTGCGCGTGCCAGGGAAGCGCTTATTCCACTGAGCCATCTACCTAGCCCCTTGAATTAACTCTTAACAAAATGGAAAAAACTGAGATGCACTGATGAAGGAAACGCTAGCCTGGCTGAACTAAGGGAACCAGCACAGAAGATGCACACAGCTCACAGTGAAGTTCTCAAGGTTCTGGAGGAATCCACACACAACAGAACTGTGTTCTTTGGTGCCCTATCAGCTGCACAAGGGCAGAGCAGCCTGTCTGGCCTCCTGTTAGCTGCCAGCTATCGGCAGCTTGCCCAAGGAATGAAAAACAAAGACTGTATTTTAGAAACTGGGCCAAGTTTTTCCTCCTGTGCTCATTTTTGTATAAAACTTATTTTTCTTGTTAGAGGAAATCAATTCGATACTGGTTTCCCCAGTAGAAAGGTTTCCAGGCCTCTGCTACACTTGGGTGGACGCGCCCCGCTCTGGAGCCTTTTCTGGATCAGCACGCTGACCCTGCCATCTCCTCTGGACCTGTGTGCCCAGACTGGCTCTGTCTGGATCTCTACAGGTGTCTTTTTCTGGTTTTTGAGACAGGATCTCGCTGTAGATTTCAGGCTGGCCTCAGACTTGCAAAGACCCTCCTACTTGAGCCTCTGAGTGCTGGGATTACAGGTGTGCACCACCCCGCCCGCCTGTCCATTTTTTAATGCAAATATTTACTTATGTAAAAATATCTTTTCTACTGGCATAGTCACAAAAGCCCATGACACATACTTAGGCTGCTATCTTAAAATAAAAAAGCTTAGGGAGCTTTTTGCCACTAATATTTTTATTAGAAAATACATAAAAATTATACAAAATAGAAAAATACAGTAAACTTTGTTGTACTTATTATATAGCTTTAACAATGGCAATTTCTGGATAATCCTGCTTCATCTTCATGCCCTCTTCGCAGCTCTCCCACAAGATTACCAAGATCACGCATCAGCCAGGTACAGCGGCAAACACCTGTCATCGCAGCCTTGGGAGGCTGGGCTAGGAGGACCGTGAGTCCCAGGCCAGCCTGGACTACACAAGGCCCTATCTTAAAAAAACAAACACACACACGCCTCCCTTCACACACACAAAAGGCACACCACACACTATGTCATTCTTTCCCATGCGTTCAAAGCATTAAAGGCACCACCCCGTTCTCCAGCTTCAGCAGTCCCCACTAGAATCCAGGTGCACGTAAACGGACTTTGCCTTAGACACTGCCAAATCCCAGAGGACTCTACACGGTGCAGAAATGCAAGCTGAATAAACTTAGGAATTTTACCCTGCAGTCTCATTTTACTCTTGTCAAAAACACGAACTTTCTGACCTAGGAAGTACTACAAGACTTCTATTTTACCAGATGGTTTAAAGTGCATGAAAACAGCTCTGACCTTGGGATTATATTCAGCATTTCGAGCACGAAGTGCAATGGTCTTTAGGTCAAGTTTACAACCAAGGTTCACTGTAGATACAATATTTCTGTAAGAAATTTGAAAAGAAAACATGGTTATTTGAATTAGAGTAATCAACCTTTACACAGTGGGTGTTAAATGATGATCCAGGAATCTGATTCCTTCATTAGTATTTTTTTTTTAAATGTATTTAGGACAGGGTCTCACTACACAGATGGGACTCAGTCATCCTGTTTTTAGGTTCCCAAGCACTGGGATTATAGGCGTGCACCACCAAGCCCAGTCTCAATTCCACCGTTTTGTTGAACATGCAGTGTTTTGTAGAAGGTAATTTTTAATGATTTTAGGAAGAGGAAGGGCTGGGGAGATGGCTCAGTAGAATAAGTGCTTCCCTAGCAAGTGCAACGGTCTGAGTTCAATCCCTGGTTCCGCAAAAAAAAAAAAATCCCAATTAGGGCCGGGGAGATAGCTCAGTAGAATAAGCACTTGCCTGGCAAGTGCAGGGTCCTGAGTTCAATCCCCAGTACCCCACACACACACACACACAAAAAGGGATTTTAGGAAGAGAAGTTCTGTTAGCTCATCTTTGTCACCACTCTTCCCAGTTGTCTTGCATGCTTGACTTTCATGGGAATTCAGATTTGTAGTTAACAAAAGCAATGAGCTAGAACCTAGCATCTGTGTACGAAGTATGGTGGACACAGACAATGAATGTTTATGTTTATTACAGTAAGGCACACTGTCATTAATCCCCTTCAAAATACTAATGAGGGCTGGCCAGATAGCTCAGCGGACTAAAGCACCTGCTTAGGCTGAGTGCCGCAGCCGGGGTTCGATCCCCAACCGGTGTGCCACGCCGGCCCCACCCCTGGGGCATACTGAAATGGCAATTGAGAGTGGGCATAGTGGCACGCACCTGCAATCCCAGCACTTGGGAGGCTGAAAACAGGAAACACTGAGTCCAATCTGTGTAGTGAGACCTTGTAGACCTTATACTAAATACATTAAAAAAACAAAAACAAAAAACTGTGGAAGCAAAATTTAGGCCTCTAAATGGTCAGGGTCCAATAAGTACAGGATGCTGAACCTGCAAATGGGAAATACCACACCTACAGGAGGTAAGAAAATGGGGCAGCTGTAACCTCAGGACTACAAACCCGACAATAGCCTTATGCGCCCACAAGGTAAAAGCTATGTGCTTCTTGCTGACTGATACTCAGCAAGATCTGCCTGTTTTTTAGGAAAAAAATCACCACCATCACCACCATTTTGATAACTTCATTCAGATAGAAAAACTCAGTTAAGACAAGAACTGTCATTGCTACGTTACAGATCTTCAAAGATCTATGGCAAGGGGACTGGGGAGATGACTCAGTGGAATAAGCGCTTCCCTGGCAAGCGCAAGGGCCCGAGTTCAATCCCCGGTTCTGCAAAAAAAAAAAAAAAAAAGGTGTATAGCAACTCTCACAGCAAATACAAACAAAAACAAGGACCACTGTGACCTGTGACAAACCCTACAACACATGAGATCGGGGCAGCAAATCTGTGGCAGGGAACGTCTATTACAGTGAAACCCAGCTGCAATTTTAATGACATGAGTCCATCAAAACAAATGACCTTGTTTCTGAAAACATCAGGACAGTGTTTCGCAGGAGTGCTGGCTCACTAGACAGCTGTGGCTACCTGTCGAGGAGCCAGCGTCGTCACTGTTTCACTCCCCCAGGTAAGTGAGCCCTCTAAAGGCACAGTGCACCACTGTGCAGGACCTCTGCAGACAGGAAAGCTCGCGCACAGGAAGTACTCACTGCAGCTGCGGGACAATCCCAGAGCTCTCAGAGGCTGGTGTAGCTGGAGTGATGGGGGTCATGGGGGTCATCGGTGAGGGGTACAGGGGTGTGGTGCCCGGCAAGGGTGCCGTTGTAAGAGTCTGTGAATGGAAGAGTTGGGGAGTTTGGCCTGAGGCCCCCTGAGGTGCCTGCTGGGGTGCTGACTGCTGCACAGCTGCCGCTGCAGCTGCTGTTGTCTGCTGCTGCTGCTGCTGCTGTTGCTGCTGCTGCTGCTGCCTCTGTTGCTCTTCTAAAATAGACAGGCTGTTGGTGCTCTGAACAGGCTGCGGTGTGAGTCCTGTGCCGTAAGGCATCATTGGACTGAAGATGGGGATTCCAGGCGTCATGGCACCCTGTGGGAAGCAGAGGGAACGGTGGGTGAGCAGGCCACTGGCATAAGGGTTTGCGCGCCCTTTCCAGCAGAACCACAGGTAATATGTGCACGGCAGATGCTTTCTGAGTACAGTGCATAACGGAACATTACCAGGCAAGAGCTTGCTGGTCTTACACACAAAGCTGTCTTTTTAATCCTGAACACAGTAGAGAAGGGCTCAGGATTTCGAATCTACTGCTACTTATTACATGTGAAAATGTAAGAGGGAATTATGATTATCACAAAGAACAAAAGGGAGATAACCAAGTGACTACAAATTTCTGTTTAAGCACCCAGGATAGCACCCCTTCTACTCTTACAGTGTTTGTCCCAGCATGGATGGTCAAGTACATGCTTCGCCTATAGATACCATCCAACATGTTAAACAGAAAACCTGGCACTTAGAAAATAACAAAGTGTCATTTTATCAACCATGATCATGACAATTAGACTATTATTCAAAAAAGTCAATCTCTTGCTGTTCCAAAAGCATAAATCTACAAAATAATACTAGCATTCTGCTTCTGCACCCTGCATCCAAGCTTTCCCAGAAACTGTTACATATGCTAATGTATCTAGGCCTCACAGCAGTCTCTTGGCAAGTGAGAACAACTGTTCTTTCCGTGTGAAGATAAGAAACTGATGACCAGGAGGGCACACAATGTGCCAAGGACATGGGCCTTGCAGGCAGATGAGCCAGGGTCCACATCCACAGGCCAGGCCAGGGCCTCCCTCATGCCAAAATTAGTGAGGCTGAGTTTTCCGGGGTTGGGCATAACTTCGTGGATCTCTTACAAGGTGTGATAAAAACAATATGGTGAACCTTGCCGTCCAGGGCCATCCAAGAGAAGGACAGGATTGTAAGAGACTCCTCAGTGTGTCCTCACCCACCTCATCCACACGCCCAGGCACTCAGAGACCTCTGGCTCCCTGCCCCGAAACTTGGAATGACCATGAGACGTAAGCATTTTTATTTCATTCAGGATATCAAAGTAGTCACAACAGTGCGACTAAAGATACGCAGGAAAGAGGACATTAAGAACTGTTTCAGCTTGCCTGGCAAGCACAAGGGCCTGAGTTCAATCCCTGGTTCCACCAAAAAAAAAAAAAAAAAGAACTGTTTCAGAACGTGGCAAGAATGACAGGTTGGTGAGGAGGTACTCTGAAGGGGTCGCAATGTGTCTTTCACTTTAAGTTTATGCACTCATCATGGTTTTGTTTCTTTTTTTGTCTTTTTGAGACAAAGTTTTGCTACACAATTCAGGCTGGGCTTCAATTCCCACTGTAGCCCAGGCCAGCTTCCCAGGTCCTGGGCTTCCAGGTGTGCACCACCTTCGCCATGGTTTTCAATTACAGCTTGCACTCTGTGCAACAGTATGTGTGTATGCTGTGAGCAGAGGGCCCCAGCTTTCATTAGACTCTCAAATACATGCAAGATATAACAAGGACCAGGATTCTTTCTCACTTCCACCACTTTAGTACAAGGTAACTGCCAGGATATAGCCCAGCGGTATAAACACCTGCCTAGCAAGGTAACTATGACTAATAAGATATTGTATTGTTTCAACAGTACAGTGGCAGGCTGAATACAAAGGACGGGCCAACCTATGCTATGGCTATTAACAGTCTAGGCATTAAGTAAACTCTTG